CCAGGCAATTTGAACCACGCCCCCAGCGGCAATATGATTTCAAAGAAGACCAGGTAGTGGCGACTCTCGACACTCTACTCAAGAGTGGGCGAATTAAGTTGCCAGAAGCCGCCAAACCGGAGGAGGCGGACAAAACCGGTGACCCAAGTTACTGTGCATATCACAGATTCCTTGGGCATCACACAACCAAGTGCTACGTCCTCAAGGACAAACTCCAGGCCCTCTACGACGCGGGGGTCTTGAAGAAAGAGAAGGTCCAAAAGCAAGTGACGGCAAACATGGTCACTTTGAGCTTTGGGACGGGTCTCCCGGAGGTTCAAGCTCCGGCGGGGATAATTCCTATCCCCAAGGCGATTTTGAAGATCACTAACGACGATCCTCACAACCAGCGGGAGAAGGGTTTGGTTCCACAAACTCTGCCATCAGGGCAAGTGATGTGGGTCCATCCGGACCTCCTCGACGACGAGCAGTGGACCGCACAGCCTTCCAAGGAGGCTAAGAGGAAATATTGCAACGTTGTCACCGCCATCCTGGATACAGACGACGCGGCGATGACTGCCTTAACCGACTCTGAAGAAGACACCAACGTCTTCGCCACGAGAGACGGAAAGGAGTTTGCGAAACAATATCCCGTGAGGGCGGAAAACCCAGCAGGACCTCCCGCGAGGCCGGCCGCAGCAGTCCCTCCCAATCCAGATGAGCCCAGTTCAAGCCGCCAGCCTTACCGGTTCAACGTGCTCGCGCAATTGAAAAGCATACCCGCGCGAATCACCGTGTACGACCTCCTCCGGTTGTCTAGGCCTACCCGGGAAGCCTTACAAGAGGCGTTGGCTGACGCAGAGGCGTTCTCGACCCATTTCTCAAAAGAAACGGAGATCGAACAGGGCTGTACAACTTGCTGCCAAGTCTCCGAGAGACAGATCCCCTGCATCACTTTCACCCCCGAGGACATGCTCATCAAGAACACGTCCCACGACCGGCCGCTGTACTTCACGGGATACGTCGGCTCGGCGAAAGTGGAGCGGATCCAGGTTGACCCGGGGTCCGCGCTGAGCATCGTGCCCCTGAAGCTAATCAAGCATTTGGGGATACCGTCGAAGCGCCTAGCCTCGACCTCGACTACCATCTTCGGCTTCAACGCCACTGGGACTCGGCCACTCGGCAAAATCCGCCTGAAATGTCGGATAGGCGACATGAAGACAGAGGTGACGTGCTACGTTATCGATGCTGAACCCTCCTACAACATACTCCTGGGGCGTCCGTGGATTCATGGCAACCGGATCGTTCCATCCACACTACACCAATGTTTGAAGTATGTGGACGACTACGAGCGAGTAAGAACGGTAGTGGCCGACAAACATCCCTTTAAAGGAGTCGAGAACTACTTCGCGGATTCTCTGCTGTACCAGGACCCCGAACAGCCACCAGTGGAAGAACTGGAGAGTGGTAATGAGGCGGACAGCGAGCCTGAATACGGTGACAGCTTAATTCTGAACGACTTTGAGTCAATTGTAATTGGTTACGAGAGTCACCATGTAACCAACGCCGTTCAGGCAGAGAAGCTTATCATGAATGAAAAATCCGACCTTGCTTATTTGTCGTCTTGCTCCTCGTCCGAAGATGACGCACCTAATAACCTATGGTCGACACTCTACAGTGAGTCTTCTCTACACTTGCCGGTATGTTCGTCATACGTCTTCAAGACGCGACTGATCGAGCCATCGCGAGCTGTATTCGTCGTGCCAGCACGGAAGAGGTATCGAAAAGACATCATCTTCGGTCGAATCGATCGTCCCCTACGCACGCTATGGGACGAATCTGAGGACGAAGACCCAGCGCCCCAGTTCTCGCAATACAGTCGAGTGGCGAAACGCATAATGAGCAACATGGGGTACGACCTAACTCGCTTGGAGGGCCTGAATTACAGCCAAGGACGCAAGACGGTCATCAAACCCGCCTACGTCCCCAAAGGGAAGCCCTCAAATTACTTCAACAGGACTAGGAGAGGCTTAGGCTACTCCTCCTCCTCATCGGAGTGTTGTTTTTACGTCGACGAGAATTCCGATTACGCATGTTCAGGAGATCAGTCGTCAACAACCTCGGCCTGGGACTCCGAAGTCAGCGTAAGGGATCTGTTCGATGGCCTTACAGTCAACATGGCTACAGTAGATCCCGCCGGAATGGCGGAGGACGAACAACTTCCACTTTACGACGAGACATGGGATCGCCATGTTAGCGCCCAGTGGAACAGTCGCTTCGAACAGCGCGAACCACCAACTGAAGACGAAGTCCTCCAGGTGAACATGGGTACCGAGGCGAATCCCAAACCCATATTCATCAGCGGCAGTCTGCCTCCTCAAGAAAAAGAGGATCTCATCGCCCTCGTACGGGAATACATTGACGTCTTCGCCTGGAATTACGAGGATATGCCTGGCCTGGATCCGCGGGTCGCCACGCATCGCCTCAACATCAACCCTGACGCCAAGCCAGTCAAACAACAGCAGAGGCGGTTCCGCCCCCAAATCATGGAGGCGATCGAATCTGAAGTAAAAAAGCTGATCGAATCCGGCTTCATCAGAGAGGAGCAACACCCCGACTGGGTGGCGAATATTGTTCCAGTCTTGAAGAAGAACGGCAAGATCCGCATCTGCATCGACTTTAGGAACCTCAACGCCGCATGCCCTAAAGACGAATTCCCTCTGCCCATCACGGATGTCATCATTGACAATACGTGCGGATTCGAGAGGATGTCCTTCATGGACGGCTTCTCGGGGTACAACCAAATCAAAATGCACCCCGAAGACGAGAAGCACACTGCATTCAGGACCCCCATGGGGGTGTACTGCTATACCGTCATGCCGTTCGGACTCAAGAACGCTGGCGCAACCTACCAACGAGCCATGAGCATGATCTTTCGAGATCATTTGCGAAAGACGGTCGAATGCTATGTGGACGACTTGGTCGTGAAGAGTCGCCATAAGGAGGATCACCTCCAAGACTTGAAGGCTATGTTCGAACTCATGAGGACTCATCAGCTCAAGATGAATCCTACCAAGTCATTCTTGGGAATGTCTAGCGGTAAATTCCTCGGTTTCGTCGTCACGACGAAAGGGATCCGAATTGATCCAGACAAGGTGCGAGCTATTCAAGAGCTCCAACCACCCCGAAATCTTAAAGAGCTGAGAGGCCTTCAAGGACGACTGGCTTATATCCGAAGATTCATCTCGAATCTCTCGGGCAAGTGCCAACCCTTCTCTAAGCTGATGAAGAAAGGTACCTCCTTCGTCTGGGATGAGCCATGCCAAAAGGCTTTTGAGGAGATCAAAGCTTATCTCTCAAATCCGCCTGTCCTTGCGGCGCCAATCTCAGGAAGGCCATTCCTCATATACATACGGGCTATGGAACATTCTCTGGGTGCCCTCTTGGCTCAGAATGACGATGCAGGCCACGAGCAAGGTATCTACTACCTAAACAGAACCTTGCAGGGCGCCGAGCAACGGTACCCAATGGTCGAAAAGGAATGCCTAGCCTTGGTGTTCGCTATCCAAAAGATGCGGCACTACCTGGTTGGCCAAACCATCCATGTCATCTCCCAGATGAATCCCATTCGGGTCTTCATGACACAACCCGCAGCGTTAAACTGGCGCCTGGCCAGGTGGGCGCTTCTGCTCTCTCAATACGATATTCATTTCATGCCGCAGAAATCAGTCAAGGGACAAGCCATCTGCGATCTCATGGCTAGTCACCCGCTGGGGGTGAAAGCATCTGCCGGATGAACCTCCCGAAGCCAATATGACTTCGTCGCCGGAGGTGTGGCAGATGTTCTTCGACGGTGCGTCCCGCGCAGGCGCGAGCGGCTCTATTTCTGCAGGAGTGGGAGTGGCCCTCACCTCCCCGCATGGTCACGTGTTTCCCCGGGCCTTTTCCTTGACGGAACCATGTACCAACAACGTAGCTGAGTACAACGCGTTACTCATAGGGCTCGAGTTAGCCAAAGAGCTCGGGATAAAGCATCTGGAGGCTTATGGCGACTCGCAACTCATTGTCAAACAAATGACTGGCGAATATGAAGTCAGGAATGAAGATCTTATCCCACTCCACCGAGCGGTGGTCAGACTAGTGGAGTCATTCGAGAGCTTTCGTATTGAGCACGTGCTCCGTTCAAGGAACACCCATGCGGATGCTCTCGCATCCTTGGCAGCTAACTTAGCCCAGCCTCCTGGAACGACCCAACGGGTCGCTGTCGCCGGCCAAAAACTCTTTCGACCCAAAGACGTCCCAGAGGCAAACGCCACTCATCAAGCCTCGGGTCAGCCAGATCAGGAAGACTGGCGTCTCCCGATCATCGATTATGTCCTATACGGCATGTTGCCTGAGGATTCGAAGGAACGAGAGTCGGTCCGACGACGTGCCTCACGGTTCTACTACGATTCAACCACTAAAACGTTGTATCGCAGGTCATACGACGGCTTGCTACTTCGCTGTCTTTCAAAAGCGGAGGCGCAAGAAGCCATACGCGAAGCACATGACTTCTGGCCTGGGATGGTTACTGATGCAGTCGCTTATGCTAAGCGATGTTACGAATGCCAGATCCACGCCAACTACATACACCAGCCTCCTGAGGATCTACATCCGACGAGGGCATCTTGGCCCTTCGAGGCATGGGGGATGGACATAGTTGGGCCAATTTCTCCACCATCGGCGAAAGGCCATCGCTTCATCCTCGCGATCACCGACTATTTCTCTAAATGGGCAGAAGCCATCCCCTTAAGAGAAGTCAAGACTAGCGACGTGATCAAATTCATCAAGCACCATGTCATCTACCGATACGGCGTACCCCGGCGTATCATTCACGACAATGGCACGCAATTCGTTAGCCATGCCTTCACTAGGTTCTGCGACAAATTCCGGATACAGAACCTCTCGTCCACGGCCTACAACCCTTCAGCGAATGGTCTGGCCGAAGCTTTCAACAAGACGATCATCAAGATCCTGACCAAGTTGACTTCCACTAGCAAGCGCGACTGGAATGAAAAGCTAGGCGAGAGCCTGTGGGCATATCGCACGACGGTTCGTACACCGACTGGCACCACGCCTTACTCGTTGGTATACGGCTGTGAAGCTGTATTGCCATTAGAGATTCAGATTCCATCCCTTCGCGTCACCCTAGCGACAGGGATGACGACTGAGGAAAATCACCAACTTCAACTCGCAGAGCTCGAGGCATGGGACGACAAGCGACTGGAAGCTCAGCAGCACATTGAGTTTTACCAAGCTCGGATGGCCAAGAGTTTCGACAAGAAAGTCAAGCGCCGAGCCTTCAAAGAAGGAGAGCTCGTCCTATCCGTCCGTAGACCAATGATCCTCACTTCCAAGAAGAAGGGGAAATTCCAATCCAAATGGGAAGGACCATTCGTGGTAGAGACAGTCTACTCGAACGGTGCCTATCGCCTCGTCAAACCGAACGGCGATAAGATCATGATGCCCATCAACGGCAAGTACCTGAAGAAGTACTACCCATAGTGCTCCTTCACAAACTCCCAAGAGTGCATGAGTCTAAACTGGCCCTCAAAACCTCCAACTAGTACACGAGGCTAAACTGTTCCTGCTTTGCCCGCTCTGGCGAAAGCCTCTTGTGGGATTCAATTCGCATATCTCCTCAAATGAGAAGGCGGATCCACCAGAGTCGTTCATATCACGACATATACATTTAATTCGCCTATCTCCTCCAATGAGAGGGCGGATCCACCAGAGTCGTTCATATCACGACATATACATTCAATTCACCTATCTCCTCCAATGAGAGGGCGGATCACCAAAGTCGTTCATATCACGACAAACCCATTCAATTCGCCTATCTCCTCCAATGAGATGACGGATCCACTAAAGTCGTTCTAATCACGACATTCCCTGTCATGTTAACATTAAACCTCTGACAATCTGCTTACCAATCCTCTTCTAAAGGATGGTGGGTCCTCAAAGTCGTTCCAATCACGACATTCTCTGTCACGTTAATATTAAACCTCTAACAAAATCAACTTACCAATCCTCTTCTAAAGGATGGTAGGTCCTCAAAGTCGCTCCGATCGCGGCAATCCCTATCATGTTAACGATTACCTCTGATAGCCGACACCATCATTCCCGCAAATGATGTTGTCCAATCAATCGTCACACTCATACGTCCCTGAACGATTTGATTCTCCCAGCACCGTCTTTCCCATAAAAGGCGTTGTTGTTTGATAGTGGCCTACTATGCGATGTGCTGCTATTTCAGGGTTCGTCTTTGCCCCAAGAGAAGACAAATCAGGGTTCGTCTTCATCTTTGCCCTAAGAGAAGACAAGTTTCCCCCTATACTCAAACTGGTGCAAGAGTATAAACTGCCCCTTTACTCCAACTGGTGCAAGAGTATAAACTGCCCCTTCACTCCAACTGGTGCATGAGTTTAAACTGCTCCCTTAACACTCCGACAAGTACACGAGTATAAACTGCTTCTTCTGATCCTCCAACTGGTATAAGAGGTTAAACTATTCCCTTCACTTCCACTTCTTGAGCCAGGTTCCCAGTCAGTTTAGGCGAGCCCATCTCTTTGAGCCAGGTTCCCAGTTTCGGCGAACCGCTCAAATCAGGCAAGTTTAACAGTTTAGGCGAGCCCCACCTCTTGAGCCAGGTTCCCGGTTATGGCGAACCGCTCAAAACAGGCGAGACTAGCAGTTCAGGTGAGCTGCATCAAACCCCCAATTGGTCAAACCTTCAGATAGTTAGGACCAAAGCCACAATCCCCCGCCAATCCTCTTCAATAGGATGGCGGGACCCCCACTGTCATGTTAACGGTCACCTCTGACAAATCAACTTACCAGTCCTCTTCAATAGGATGGTAGGTCCATAGAGTTGCTCAAATCGCAATAAACTCCCACTGTCATGTTAACACTACACCTCTGACAAAATCAACTTACCAATCCTCTTCAAAAGGATGGTAGGTCCTCAAAGTCGCTCCGATCGCGGCAATCCCTATCATGTTAACGATTACCTCTGATAGCCGACACCATCATTCCCGCAAATGATGTTGTCCAATCAATCGTCACACTCATACGTCCCTGAACGATTTGATTCTCCCAGCACCGTCTTTCCCATAAAAGGCGTTGTTGTTTGATAGTGGCCTACTATGCGATGTGCTGCTATTTCAGGGTTCGTCTTTGCCCCAAGAGAAGACAAATCAGGGTTCGTCTTCATCTTTGCCCTAAGATAAGCTTCCCCCCTAGACTCCAACTGGTGCATGAGTCTAAACTGCCCCCTTACACTCCAACTGGTGCATGAGTCTAAACTGCTCCTACCCTCCGACTGGTATACGAGGTTAAACTGCTCCCTTAAATCCAAACGCCTCGAAAGGCTAAGGATAGAGGAGAAATTTTAGCATTGAGCCTAAGAGAGACTCCTCGACAACTTACCATGCTAAGGGCAAGAGCATGGCTAGTCCAACTCAAACGGCAGTTGGTAAAGACAAATCAAGTCCGTTGATAGCTGAGGGTTTGCTCAAAATCCTAGAAGGCGATCATCAGCTGCGAGTGAAGAGCAGGGATCACTTTACGGGACTTCATATCCAAAGTGTTCCAGACCCCATGCGGCCTGATTCAGGTCTGAAAACTTTGGAGGGGGTTTTGTAGGCAATAAAAATCGCCTTTAAATCCTTATCAGAGAAGTTCAGAACAAAACTGCTAAAACCTCACCCGAAATAGCGAAAAAGGGGAAAACGCAGATATCTCCCAAACCGTAAGGAATTTGGCAAAACGAACCGAAGCCTTCGACTAGGTTCGGATGGCTCCATCTCGTCGAGATAGGCGATTTTCATATGTAATTCGTCCAATTCCGACTTACGGTTTGAAAGTTACGGCCTATTCTTCAATCCATGCTCAGGAGCTCGCCTGCAACTCAAATTCGCCTGCAGTCCCAAATCCGCCTGCAGACCCAAGTCTGCCTGCGCACCTGAGCTCGCCTGCAAACCCAGTTCGCCTGCTAGCTCGCCTGCAGACCCAAGTCCGCCTGCAGTCCCAAGCTAGCTCGCCTGCAAACCCAAGTCCGTCTGCAGTCCCAAACTCGCCTGGAGACCCAGTTCGCCTGCAAGCTCGCCTGCAGACCCAAGTCTGCCTGCAGTCCCAAACTCGCCTGTAGACTCAGCTCGCCTGCAAGCTCGCCTGCAGACCCAAGTCTGCCTGCAGTCCTAAGCTCGCCTGCAGACCCAAGCTGCAGACTCGCCAGCTCACTGTCAACTGCCCACTTGGAGTATGGGAACAGTTACATCAGTGGTCAAATCCCACAAATCAAGGGAGAGGGCACAATACTCCAGGCCCGTCAGATGGCCGTCCACAGTACGAATGAGCGGACAGGCGCCGAAACAGCCTGCACCCTCATAAATGCGGCTCACCTCAGTTGTCCAGGTGAAGGGACGAGAGCCGCCAACGCTCGGTGGTTGGTCAGATCCACGCAAGCATCTGACAGCCGTTGTCACGCATACGAGGAGGGGCTTTCCCACTCCTATGTAGCGTGATGCAGAGCACAGCTCTTCGAATGACCATTGACGGTGCGAATGAACAGCAGGACGTCTCCAAACAATGTGTGGTCACATCCCATAATTCAAGGAGCAGTCAAGCTATCTCCCTCACCTCCATCAGTGGTCAAATCCCAATTCAAGGAGCAGTCAAGCTATCTCCCTCACCTCCATCAGTGGTCAAATCCCACGAATCAAGGGATGGCCCATGCCATCCCTTGCCTACTAAAACCCATCTTCAGCAGCATGAAGAGGGGGATTGGCCGTTGCATATTCTGCTGGCTAATCTCCCAAAGGTTGAACCTGGACCTTTGCCAAAGGCTCCCTCATTTTGAGAACCGAAGCTCCGGCTCCGGCAGCAACTTCGATCGGATCGTCCAAGGGAAGCAGACTCGGCACGAGCACCGAGCGAGGCGTCCTATCGCCACCGAGGAACCCACGTTAAACAAGGAGGGCCTTTCCCTCCGCTTCTGTTGTAAACATTTGATTCATTAGTTTGTAATAAGCTTTCTTATAAATACAAACGAAACTCCTTTCTTCGGAAGAATCAAATTTTCACCCTACACTGGTGTTGCCCATCTTCATATTGCCAAAGAAACCTACTATATACGATGTGAAAAGGCCTCGATTGGAGGTAGCATAACATATAGCTCCTGTATCCACTATCCACTCGGAATTCTAACTTGTAACATACATACAGTCTTCTTCCCTGCAAATGAGAATGACATCGGTCTCAGAAAAAGTAGCTATAGTGTCATTATCAGCTTTCTTCTTCTTATCTTTCTTTTTATCTTTATTCCCAGCTTGCTCTTTCTTTAATACCCAACAATTCTTCTTGATATGACCTGGCTTCCCACAATAAAAACAACCTCTCTCTTTAGACTTTGACCTACCCTTGGATGTGCCACGACCACTGGACTAGTCCCTGTACCTGCTCCTACCCCTGATCTCCATGACAAGTGCCTATGAGTTATCTATGTTGTAGTCTTCCTCTGAGTCTCCTCATTGAATAAATCTCTAGTAACCATACTCATTGATAACACACCATTTTGATCTGCGTTACTAACTGTCACAACCAGTGTCTCCCAACTATCAGTCAAAGATCCCAATAGCAATAAAGCCTATAGCTCATCACCGATAGTCATCTTCATGGTACCTAACTGATTAATCAAACTCTTAAACTCATTCAAGTGCCCTACTATGTTGCTTCCTTCTTTGAATTTTTTAAGTTCACCAACCGTCTCATAATAAACGCCTTATTTCCTGTAGTCTTCTGCTCATAGAGATCCTCAAGCTTCTTCCAAAGAGACTTCATATTAGTCTCACCTGATACATGATGAAACACACTAACGTCGATCCACGTCCAAATATAACCGATCGCCTTCCTGTGTTGTTTCGCCCAGTCTTTATCAGTCATTTTTTCTAGCTTGGCTTCATCTTCCTCAATAGGGTCATGTAAATCTATACAATATAGAATATCTTCCATCTTGGATTTCTATACTTACCAATTGGAACCATCTAATTTTATCATTATGCCAAAACTCTCCATCTTTTCCATCCAAAAGCACGTCTCAAACTAGGGCTCTGATACCACTTGTTGGGGATTTTATGGAGATTAATCTGCAGAATTAAACTCTAAACGAATAACGGCACCAATGAAAAATATCATAAGCAAACAAACACCAAGATTTAACGTGATTTGGAAAATCATTTCTACGTCCATGGGGCAATCTAGAAAGAAATATTTTACTATAAATTAAGAGTACAATCCCTCTAAGTTACACCTGAACTTGAGGATTAAATTACAAGAGAAAGATATAATGTTACCTCTAGGGTACCAAAACCCTAAAGCATATCTCACCTAAAATCTCCAACTCCCAAGGAGAAATCAGCACCGTACTCTTAACGACATCGTCATTCTGAAGATAATGGCTTTTGAATCACTACAATTAGACACCCGAGCTATCCGAAAGCTAAACTTTTATCTCTCTCCTCGCGACAATGTAGCAAACCGTGGTTACTGTAGCACCAAAGTACTGTTCACCCAAAAAATTATTCATATAAAAATTGATCTCAGGTCTCTCTTATATAGAATTCTTCAAACCTATTCCTATTTCAAATAGATCATCTAAATCCTCTTATAAATAGAGTTCTAATCCATATAGACTTCTTATAGATAGAATTCTAATTTATATAGACCTCCTCATGTGGGCCTTATCTTGGGCTAGACCCATAACAAGAGCAAGTTGATCATGTATCATCCATTTCTTATATAAGATGGATTAGGTTTGGGTGTCGAGTCTTGGTCACTCGATGATAGAGTTGAAGGAGGTAGAGTAGAAAAACTGTCAACACGGCTGAGCATGCAATAATCACAAAGAAGATGTGTGAATCTCGTCTTCCATAACAAGTAGTTGTTAGTATCAAGATGGATCCTATTTTTTGGCGAGGGGGAACCAAAAGAGGTGTTGTTATCAAGGCGAATCCCGATACTCGACAAAGAGGAGCAAATCGAAGAAGAGGAGGAAGAGAAGGTAGAGTCAGTAACCATTGTGAGGCAGGAGAGGGTCAATGTCGTAGAAATAAGGGCTCTGATACCATAAAGAGCTTGGTGAAGGTGAAATAATAATGATATGAACACCTTGACTTTTTCTCATTCATTGGCACTGTTTAAATACAAAATTGAGATGAATTCTACTGTAAGTGGTTTACATCAATGATACTAATCACAACAATCATGAATTGTATTTCCTATTCTAGATAGCTATAAAAGGAAAAATATCTTGGTAATTACAATGATGGAATTTACACACAAGCACTACTAAAAAATGAGGCATCCTATACGGAAACTTCCGTCTAGGATACACAGAATTCTGTCTAGGATGAGTATCCTAGACGGAATTCTGTCTAAAATATGCGTCTAGGAAGTTTCCGTCTAGGATGTAGTATTCTAGAGGGAAATTCCATCTAGAATAGATCCTAGATGGAATATTTTAGACAGAATTCAAAACCATCAAGAATATATCCTAAACGAAATATTCTAGACGGAATTTCCGTCTAGAATATAGCATTCTAGACGGAAAAAATTTCCGTCTAGGATGAGTATCCTAGACGGAAATTTCCATCTAGGATACCCATTCTAGACTAAAATTGATGTTTTTTAATTTTTTTAATTTTTTTTAATTTTTTTAAAAAGTATCCTAGATGGAATTTGAGCATCCTAGATGGAATTTCCGTCTAGGATGCTATGCTACAGTAGTTTTTTTTTACATAATCTACTTTGAGTACATGTATACAATATTGAATAAAAAAATTATATTCATATCCAACACAATCTAATTATATTCCAATATCAAATCCAATTATATTCAAATAATACACAATCTAATTATATTCCAATATCAAATCCAATTATATTCAAATAATACATTCACCAAAATAGTAGAGAGATACATATCCAATTATATTCAAATAATACATTCACCAAAATAGTAGAGAGATACATAAATTGTTTACAAACTTTTGCATAAATTATTTACAATGGCTATGACACTGCAGAAGCTTCTTGAACTCCTTCCCTATATATTTACTCAAGCCCTCTTCTTCTCCTTCTTCACCTTTTTCCTCATCATCCTGAGTGTAACATAAGGACACAAGCAATGCATCAATATATGTACAAACTGATCCATAAAGAAGACCCTTTATAAAAGATGGTGATTTTCTACTAGTCGAGACAGCAGGAAAGACAAAGAACTAAGAGGATTTTAACAATGATGAGAATCAAGAAATAAGTATGAGCAATTACCTTGACAATAAGAAGTGGTTTGTGCTCCACTGTCAACAAAAGCCTGAAAGGTAGAAAGAGCACTTAAGTACTAACACCATATAACATGACCTACAGGAAGGAAGAGTTAAACATGAGCACAAAAAACAACAAAAATGCTCGAGGTGAAAACAATGCGAAGGTACGACTTACAACACGTGCAAACGCTTCAGGGTTGTGCTCTATTGCCGCCTCCCAATTTTCATCTATTCCTTTCTGCAGCTCAGAATAATAATCAGAAACATAAGAAATTATGAGGGAAAAAATGTTACCCAGTGCATGTTATGCAGTAAAACTTATTACAAATAATAATCAGTAAAACTTATTACAATATTAGATTCTTTTTGATGAAGTCGTTTATGTAGTGTTATAGATTACAAATGATAATTAAACTTATTACACTTAAAGCCCTAGCAGTTTACAAACAAAGATCAAAGGTGTATGCACATAAATACCAAAACATCTAACAAAGAAAATGATAAAGAACCATCTCATTCTATAGTTACAATAAAATCTTTCACTATATCTCCAGACCATGTTTTTCAAAGGGCCTTATTATTAGCAACTTTCTACCTTGCCCAGCAAAAAAATCACATGGAGTTCTAATCAATTATGAAATCAGTACAATTTATACGAGTACTATGCTAAAAAATAGATAAGCTAGCTAAAAATGCCTAGCCGTTATAAGACCAATAGATCCTACTAATAGCTTACAACTTACCAGAAAATCAATGAACTGTGAAAACAAGTTAAAGACCAAACCTTGACAAAGTTTCCCAGGGTCTTAGTCGACCCCCTTGAGCTCGTAAACACACCATTAATCCCAGCAAACTGCAGCACCTTCTTCGGCACTCTCGCCGCCACAATCCCAGCACCTTCAATGAAATTAGTTTTTTTTCAATAAATAAAGGATAATCTGATTAGTTAGGTTGCACTGGTCAGTATGTGAGAAACAGAGTTTATGTAAATTGCAAAAAATCAGATTTAAAGATGATGACCCATAGGTTGTATGAACTCAATATATAAATCATCGATGATAATTATACTTTCCATCATGTATACTATATTTATTTGTTTTAGCAAGGTTCAAGTTAAAAAGTTAACACATACAATACAAATATCAAAGACAAGGTAAAAATTATTTATTAGATATTTCTCATCTCCTTATGCTGCCAAAAATTAAAAAGCATCAATGAGCCATGAGATCTCACTATTCATAATCCCATGAGCATATACAACAAAAAAAATTGACTGTGCAAAAGCTTCATAAAAAAAATAGACATCAAGAAGCTGAGGGGCGGTCTGAAGGCGCAGGATGGCAGGCGAATTTTTTGATGCTATCGTGCACTCCCGCCTTGATTTTTTCGTTTTCTTGATGGCCAAGAAGAAGAAAAATAATGGAAAAAAGATTCTCGAGATTGGATTAAGAGCTCCTAAATCGAATTTGATGATTGAGGATGATCAATCTTCTACTGGCAGTGAAGAAGATGTTGAATCTTTCGTTGAAATGGGATCTACAGGTCCTAAAGGAGCAAGGAAGTCTAAATCTATGGCTGAAGTTTTGAATTCTGCAAATTCGATGAGAATCTCTGATCGTATACCAAATCAAGTGCAAGGTTTTCTTGATCGCCAACTTGATGAAGCTTCTTGCTCGAATTCTGAAGTTCTGAAGGCTAGGTCTTCTTCGAGAGTTGGAGTTCATCTTCGAGATTCTTGCAAAACTTCTAACTCTAAATCTCATGTCTCTTGGTCAGATGAGGTCGATAGGGAGGTAATTTCTCATCCAACTCATAAAGGATCTTCTCCTTTGTTTGCAAATACTTTGCTGGATTCAATTTCTACAGAAGATGACATCAGATCTGGAGTTTTAAAAGCTAACTCTGTTCTTGATTCTATTATCTCTTCTAATTCTGCTCAACCTGTGAGGAATATAGAGGAGAGTGGAATTAAACAGAATTTTTCAACTGTGAATGAGGGGTTTCCTCCTCTAGACTCGAATAAGAATCCTGCTCATACTTCAACTGTGGAAAAAAGTTGGATTAGTTGTTTTGCTAACAATAGAAATCCTGGTAATGGTCTGGTTTTGAATTATGTTGAACCTGAAACTAGGAATGCTGTTACTTTTGAAGAGGAGGAATGGATTGAAGGTGCTTCTCAATGGAAATCCTCTCTTGTAGGGCAGGTTTTTGGGCTAAATGTAAGTTTTAAAGCCATGGAGACCTTTGTTCACAAAGTTTGGGCTCTTTCTACCCCCAATATCTGTATCTTAAAGCCTGGAATTTTTCTTTTCAAATTCAATAATGATGAGGAAATGAAGGGAATTCTTGAAAAAGGCCCCTGGTTCTTTGGATCCAGGCCTTTTCTTTTAAAACCTTGGTCAATTGATGATGATATAGAAAAAGTAAGAGACAATACTTACCCTATGTGGATTCAGCTGCCTGGTTTAAGATTAAACCTGTGGAATGCAAATAGCATAACAAAATTGTGAGTGTTATTGGAAAACCAATTACTACTGATAAGCTTACTGCAAATAAGCAAAGATTGGCTTATACTCGTGTACTTGTTGAAGTGAAAATGCCCTCTTCTCTCCCTGACTATATAGACATACAAGGGCCAAATGGAAAGTGTTTTAAACAAAATATTACTTATGAGTTGAAGCCAAGATGGTGTAACCACTGTAAAGTGGTGGGGCATGATACTAACTTTTGTAGAAGAATGATTGGATCTCAGATATGGGTGCCAAAGCAGAAACCAAAAAGTGCACTTAATGAAAATTCTGGAAAATCAAAGGAGATAGGAAAAAGGCAGCAAGAGGTTCTGGATATGACAAGAGGGTTTGGTAGAGGGTCTGGTAGTGCAAATAAGAAGCAAAATTCTGTTGAATCTCCTGTACCTGGTATTGCACATAATCGTGTGCATATTTTACAAACTCAGGATATATATACTATTATAGAAGAGGATCAACTTATCAACAGTGGAATAAAAGAAATAACAAAGGACAAGGAGTCTAGAAAATTATAGGTTGATGAATCCTCTGTGCATATTGTGCAGGCTTATCCTGTGCATGTTAGTGAACAGGAGAGAAATGAGTCCCATATTAAAGGAGCAAAATCTGCTATATCTGGTAGACAGGAGATGGGACAAATTCAACAAAAAACTCTGATGGATAGGGGACCTGGAAGTGTACATGAAGAGACTACAACCCCTGTGCATGTTTTACAGGATTGTTCTGTGCATGGTTTACATAATGTGGTTTCTATCACCTCTCTGGATGAAACCTCCCCCTGGTTTTCAAATCAAGGAGCTAAGATAAGGAAAAATTCTTTCTCTCCTCTGACTAAGTTAATGGATATTAAAGATCCCTCTAATGTAGGAAGGGGGGTATTTTTTACCAAATCATGAACCTGGCATTTTGGAATGTTAGAGGTTTTAACAATTCCTCTAAACAGCATTTAGTTAAGCAATTTGTGAGACAGTACAGGATTTCTTTCCTTGCTCTTTTGGAAACAAAAATCAAAGATGTGAATGTTCAATCTGTTGTTAAAAAAATTAACAGTTCCTGGAACTACTTTTCAAATGCAAATGGCACTGAAAAGGCTAGAATCATTATACTTTGGGATCCAAGTCTAATGAACATCCAAATAAACTATATCTCAGCCCAGCAGATTACATGTTCAATAAATTCTTTGGATGGAAATCTTCAATGCCTCATAACTTCAGTTTATGGGTATAATCATCAAGATGAAAGGAAGGATTTGTGGTCTGAAATAACCCAGATTCATCAAACAGTTATGGGTGTGCCTTGGCTTTTATGTGGTGATTTTAATGCTTTATCAAGCAATGATGAAAAAATTGGAGGCTCAATCCTCACTGATGCAGATACCAGAGTTTTCAACCAGGTCATTGCAGATTGTCAACTGTCACATCTCAAGACTATTGGCTGTTTCTTCACTTGGAATAACAAGCAAGACTCAGCCACTAGAGTCTGGAGTAGGTTAGACAGAGCCCTTATAAATGACTCTTGGTTACATAAGCACAATGCAAGTCATGTTGAATTTTTATCCCCAAGCTTCTCAGATCACTCTCCTGCTCTTGTATCAATTTATGAGAATAAAGATCAAGGGAAAAAGCCATTCAAGTTTTACAAAATGTGGACAAAACATGAAAATTATCTCTCCACTCTTTCATCTATATGGCAGTCATCTATTGAGGGTCACAAAATGTACAAAATCTGTGCAAAACTGAAACTCCTGAAGAGTGCTTTGAAAGATCTGAACAAAAGATATTTCCATAATATTAGTGAGTAGGTTATCAGAGCAAAAAAAGATTTGGAGGTTATTCAAAATTCCCTACAACTTGACCCTCTTAATGCTGATCTTATATCTCAGGAAAAAAAATAGCATTGTCTCTTATAACAAGCTTCTTGAATGTGAATTATCCTTTTACCAGTAAAAATCAAGAATAGCTTGGAGCCTTAAGGGTGATAGATGCACAAGTTTCTTCCTCTCTGCTATTAAGAAGAATAGACACCACAATAGAGTGATGTCACTCATCTCAAATAGGGGGGAAAAATCTCAGATGGAGAAAAAATTGCACAGGAATTCATCTCATACTATGAGAGCCTAATGGGGACTGAAATTTCCACCTCCTTGCCAGACTCAAACATAATCCAAAGTGGTCCTTGTCTCACTGAATACCAAGCTATAAAATTGACATGTGCAGTTACTTATGAGGAGATTAAGCAAGCTATTTTCTCCATGTCAGAAGACAAAGCTCCAAGGCCTGATGGTTTCAGTATATCTTTCTACAAAACTGCTTGGCCTATTATTGGAGAGGATATCACTGCTGCTATTCAGGATTTTTTCAAAACAGGAAAGCTCTTGGGCTCCATCAATTCTACCTCTATCTCTCTCATTCCTAAGGTACAATGCCCTCAAACCCCTGCTGATTTTAGACCAATCTCTTGCTGTAATTGCCTATACAAGTTCATCTCAAAAATCCTTGCAAATAGGCTGCAATCTGTCATTGGTCTTATAATTAGTGAAGCTCAATGTGCATTTGTAAAAGGTAGGCAAATTAATAACAATATATTGTTAGCACATGAACTGGTGAAGAATTATGGCAGAAAACACTTAACTCCAAGGGCAATGATCAACATTGATATAAGGAAAGCCTTTGACACTATCAGTTGGCCTTTTTTGGAAAACATGCTCAGAGGTTTGGGGTTCTCAGCAGTTTTCATCCAGTGGACTATGGCATGTATTTCATCAGAGGTTTGGGGTTCTCAGCAGTTTTCATCCAGTGGACTATGGCATGTATTTCATCCCCTAAATTTTCTGTTTCCATGAATGGTTCACTCCATGGATATTTCAAGGGTGCTAGGGGTCTAAGACAAGGAGATCCTTTATCTCCTTTATCTCCTTTATCTTTCTAGAACCATGAACCTGCTAAAACATGACAGAGCTTTCAAATTTCACCATTTGTGTGGAAAGCTAAAAATCACTCACCTTGCTTTTGCTGATGACCTACTTCTATTCAGTAGAGGGGATATGTACTCTATTCAAAAACTATATCAGTGTGTGCAAGAGTTTGGTGCTGTATCTGGTCTGGAAGCCAATCCTTCAAAATGTGCAATTTTCTTTGGTGGAATGGAAGAATCTGTTAAAGCAACTATCAGTAGTTGTTTAGGATTTCATGAGGGTTCTTGGCCTATCAAGTACCTAGGTGTTCCCTTAATTTGCAAGAGACTCACATATGTTGATTGTACCCCTCTGTTTAAGAAGATTACAAATCAGTTTTCATCTTGGCTGAAAAAACAGAACCTAACATATGCGGGTAGACTTCAAGTCATAAAAAGTGTGATACTGGGAATTCAGCTGTACTGGGACAAAAGTTCTAAAGAAAATAGATTCTTCCGAAGATTTTTTATGCGAAGATTTTTTATGGGGTAAAACTGATCAGTCTCTCAAATCTCCTCTAGTTGCTTGGGACAAAATCTGTAGGGAGAAGAAGTGTGGTGGCTTGGGAATTTTTTCTGCAAAAACTTGGAATATGGCATCAGCTCTTAAAATCATTTGGTTTATTCATGTAAACAAAGAATGGCTGTGGATTAAGTGTATTCATGGAAAGTACCTGAAAAACACAAACATTTGGCTTGTGAACATGAAAGTTGGGGACTCTTGGATGTGGAAACAATTACTTAAAGCAAGAGATAAAGCAATCACTATCTGTGGGGGCATAGAGAATCTGAAGAGATGCATCAGTTCATGTTGCAAAAATTCAAGTATTCAGCTGTCTAAGCTTTATTCGGCCATATCTCCAGTTTTAAACAAAGTGAATTGGTATCTGACAGTTTGGGACACTTTGATATATCCTAAACATAGTTTTATTTTGTGGTTAGCTATTCTAAACAGACTGTTAACCAAGGAAAAGCTTCTTAGGAGGGGTGTTATACAATCAGACCATTGTTGTCTGTGTTCTGATAATATTCAGGAATCACGTAATCATCTGTTCTTTGATTGCCTCTTCTCAAATGCAGTGTGGAACAACATCATGGATTGGCTCAAATTTAAATGGAAGGCTTATGATTGGGATATTCTTATGGACTGGTATACCAGTAGACTGAAAGGAAAGGGTTTTAAGCAAAGTTTAAAGAGATTGGCTCTTGCAAACACAGTATACAGAATATGGAAGGAGAGGAATGATAGGATTTTCAACATGAAGGTTAAGAATATTGATCAGCTTACTAAGGAGATTAAGTTGGACATAATGACCATGATCCTTAATAGTCCATGTTTAGAGGAAAATAAACAGTGGTTGTTATCTTTGTAACCCCTGTTTTCTTGTTTTTCTGTTGATTTCTATTTTTCAGTTTCAGTTATGAACTGAAATATCAGGATGTACATATTCTTCCAATTTTTGGTAAATGAATAAAATTTCTCATTGACCAAAAAAAAAAGCTTCATAAAATTCAAAAACGACACCGACAAGCGAGCTTTAGAATACCTTTGGTGATGCAGCAAATGGAGACTATCCTCAGCAGTAATTTATGTTATGCTTCACAATTTTTGAAGTTTGTATGCATGTATACCTAACAGATGACTTTTTGAACTTGACCTCTACTACCTAAAAGAATAGATATGGGTAAAATCAAGTCACTAGCCACTAGTAAGATTTTATTCCACCTTGAAACCAAATTTGTGAACTAATTTCTCGAATACCCAACTTCCTAGATCAATATGGATTTTATTCTCGAGTAAAAAAATACCTCAATTCAGACTGAAATTCTTCCTAAAGCTCAAATTACCATCATCGAATTAGCATCTAACAATAGGGAAACCCTAACCTCAATCCACACAGAATCACATTACAAAATTCTCAAAGAAAACATCAAAAGTCGATCAAAATTAGCACAAACCTCATCGTGTGATCCATGATCCACCCCATTGGTAATCAAAGATTTAGCGACCTGGGACAAGGAACCGCGGAGCGGATCACCTTGTCGAAGCCGCCCGCGACGGAAGACGGTCGACGAGGCGGCTCAGAAAGGCGGAGAGGATGCCGAGGAGTGGCGTGGTGGAGACGTGGATCGGAGCGTGACACTGCGGAGGAAAGGGCGAGTACTGACCGAGCGCATGACGGGACAGTGCGATGATGTTCCATCCGGCGGTGGCTATATCCCTGTGCCGACAAAGAGAGGGATGTTTTTGGGAGAAAGATGGAGTAAGAAGAATTGGGGGGGGGTGGGGTGTGTTCTTATACCATTTTGGCGAATTTTCGGCAAGGTGGTGGATATCAATTTTGCGGGGGAAATTTTGGTTTTTTTTATACGAGTCAAAACATCCTAGACGGAAATTTTCGTCTAGGATACATCCTAGACGGAAATTTCCATCTAGGATACCTAGTCATATTTAAAAAAAATTAAAAATAAAAAAACCGTCTAGGATACTATTCTAGACGTAAATTTCCGTCTAGAATATTTTATCCTAGACGGAATATTCTAGACGGAAATTTTCGTCTAGGATGTTTTATCCTAGACGGAAATTTTTTTATCTAGAATATTCCGTCTAGGATACATGATTTTCTACTAGTGAAGGAAAGTGCTATCTATGATGATGGGTTTGATTTTGCATCATATATTGAGTATTGCCTTGATTTTCTTGCTTATTATGAGTATCACAATAATCTCTTTGCATGTTGTGAATATTCTCATGATATTTTTGCGCTTCTTTCCTAATAGTACGTACACGATCCTAACTATTTCAAGTATGTACTTTATATTATTGTAACCTTGTTAGGGTTAGAGGTCCTGTTTGATATCGTATAACCCCATAAATACGGTTTTGGAGTCTAGGGTTCGTATTTAAGCCTGAAGATAGTTGTATATTACAAAAGTATTATAGAGAAGAAACCAAAAGAGAGAAATCTAGGGCTTATGAGGATCTTTAAGTGAGATAGTAAGAGGATTTCTTGAAGAAATTAATGTTGGAGTTATATAATAAAGATAACTTAAAACTTGGGTTTGTAGAGGAAAGGAGTAAAACTTTAGTCCCACATTGGAAAAGAGATGGGAAGATAGGCTCTTTATAAGCCTTCCCTTTCTCTCCTATGCCTAGAAGAAAACAAAGGTTATGCTCCACACCACACACGCGCGCGCCGGCCGGGCCGGGTTCGCGCTCGGGCTCGGGTCGGGTCGGGTGGCGCGCGCACACGACCTGCGGACACGAATGCAGCTCCAGACTGAGGGGCTCTTAATCTGCTACATTTTTATTTTTGAATAATTAAAATATAATTTTTATTTTTGAACAATTAACATGTGATAAATATTTTGTAACAGAAATATTTCGTAACGGTAAAAATTTATTAGTGTGATTAAAAACGTGAAAAATATTTTGTGAATTTATTATGTAACGGAAGCGTTTTTTTTAATTTTATAACGGCTAAGCTTTATTAACGTGATTAAAACGTATTAACTACGAGTTTATGTAACGGCTGTTTAACCCTATAAAAGGACCAAAGCCCGAATAGTTTTACACAGTGAAAAATCAACAGATCTCTTCTCTCCTTCTCTTTTCAAAATAGTTTTCTGTTTACGCTGGTTCCCTGAAAGTCTAGAAGAATTCGCAAAACCTTCTTGAAGCTCGTGCCGACGAGAAGGAGGTCGCCTGACCGAGGGTCGTTGTATCTCCGGGGACTTTTGCCGCGTAGCCCTGTACGAGAGGGGGCAATTAGTTTCTTGGGACAGTGCTTGCACGCCTCGACCATCAGGCCGTATTTCTAACCCTTATTTCTTTTTGTTTGAATTATTTCTTACATCTGCGTTACAATATTAATCCGTGATTATCTGTTAATTATTAAATTGCTTAAACTGATTTTCGTTATTGTCTAAACAGCTAATATTCCTAACAATCCAAGAAACTAATTGGTGCTGTTTAGAATAGTATCATGATTAGCATTCTGCTTTTTATGTTAATGTTGTCTGCAATTCTTAAAAACGAAATGTTACAATGCATGATTATTCTGTTGAATGAATGCTTTATATATTTCTGCTGCATTATAATAACAAAAATATTCATTCATCATCAGATTATGGCTACAAGTGAAGTTATGTCTGCTAAACCAGAGAAGTTTGATGGGAATAATTTTCGTCGTTGGCAAAACCAAATGAGATTTTGGTTAACAACCCTACATCTAATAACAGCCATAGAACCAGATAACCCATCTTCATCTAGACCAGTTACTAGGCAATCTTCCTCATCTTCCTCCACAGATTCCATTCCTATCCCAAGAACACCTCAAGAAATAGAGTATCATTGTCTACATAGAATCTTAGGAGCTTTATCTGATAGATTATATGATATATACTATACTATCACTAATGCTAAAGTTCTGTGGGAAACCTTAGAGAAAAAGTATGGTCTAGATGATATGGGAATTAAAAGATTTAAAGCATCTGATTTTAACAAATTTAAAATGGTAGATTCTAAACCAATGAATGAGCAAATTCATGAATTTGAACATATAGTTCACCAATTAAAAGTGAATGGATCCATCTTAGATGAAACGTTTCAGATAGCCTGTCTTATAGACAAACTTCCCGAGTCCTGGTCAGATTTTGCCAAAAACCTTAACCATACCCAAGGAGATCTTACCCTAGAGCAAGTATTGAATTCTATTAGAATTGAAGAGCAACATAGACTCAGGGAGAAAAATGTGACAAAATCTGAACCCAAAGAACCCAAAGTAAACAATGTTGAATCCAAACCCTTTCCTCAACACAAGAAACGTCCCTTCCACCAAAATCAAAATAAAACATTTAAGAAGAAACCCTATCATCAAAATAAGAACCATGTTCACTTTCAAAAGAAGGAAGGAGCTGAACGTCGAGCCTGCTTTGTTTGTGGAAGAACCAACCATCTTGCTAAGGACTGCTTTTTCAAGAAAACTGAACCACCCAAGCCTAGGAAGGGAGGACCTCCACCTAATAAGTCACAAGTAAACATGGTGACTTCAAGTCCAGCTGAGGCTGCTTTCAGGTCTGTTCTCTTCACTCCTGAAGTAAACATGACCTTTCAAGCAAATGATTGGTGGATTGACACTGGAGCTAATATTCACGTTTGCTCTAATCAATCTTTGTTTTCCACCTATCAGGTCTCAAGTAGAGGAACTGTGACAATGGGAAATAATAATGTGGCTCCTGTATCCGGAATAGGTCGGATCAACCTAAAGCTGACTTCTGATAAGACTTTGATCCTGCAGGATGTCCATCATGTACCAGACATTAGGAGAAACTTAATTAGTGGATCTTTGTTAGTGCAACAAGGCTATAAGCTTGTTTTTGAATCAAATAAAGTTGTAATAACTAAGGGTTTGAACTTCATTGGAAAAGGTTTCTTATGTGATGGTCTTTTTAAATTGAATGTTAAGAATTCTACTCTTGCATCTCCAATAGCTTTGAATATTGAACCTTCCATCACTTGGCATCAAAGATTAGGACATGTGAATTATAATTCAATTAAAAGATTGATGCATCTCAATATAATTCCAAAGCTTAATATAAAAGATGATGAAAAATGTGAAATATGTGTAGAAGCCAAACTTCCTAAGAAACCATTTAAAACTATTGATAGAGATTCTGAGATATTAGAACTCATCCATAGTGATGTTTGTGATTCAGGAAGAACAACTAGAGGGGGTAACAAATATTTTGTAACTTTTATAGACGATTGCTCTAAATATTGTTACCTCTACTTAATTAAGACTAAAGATGAAGTCATAAACAAATTCAAAATATACAAAGCAGAAGTTGAGAATCAGTTGGATAGGAAAATTAAAATACTAAGATCAGATAGAGGTGGTGAGTACACTTCTAATGAATTAAAACAATTCTGTGAAGAGAATGGAATTATTCATGAAATAACAGCTCCATATACACCTCAATCTAATGGAGTAGCTGAGAGAAAGAATAGAACACTAATGGACATGGTAAACTCAATGTTAATTAATTCTGGTGTGCCAGAAAATTTATGGGGAGAAGCTCTCATGACTGCATGTCATATACTAAATAGAATTCCATTCAAGAAATCTGATAAAACCCCTTACACAATTTGGAAGAATAGAAACCCTAATTTAGATCACCTAAAAGTGTGGGGGTGCTTAGCAAAAGTCAAAATACCTGAGAATAAAAGAAAGAAGATTGGCCCTAAAACTGTAGATGGAATTTTTATTGGCTATGCTTCTGATAGTAATGCAAATAGATTTTTAATAATCAACTCTGACATTAATGAGATAGCCAACAACACCATAATTGAAGCTAGGGATGCACATTACTTTGAAAATATTTTTCCTTACAAGACCAGAATAAACAACACAGGCCCTAGCTCTAATAATTCAGATCCTAGTTCTAATCAAGGTGAAACTAGTTCTAAAC